ATTTGTTTACCATTTTGTCAAAAGGTCCATCTAATCTGATCACTAGAGCAAAAATTCATCATTTCTTTTCTGGGATAAGAATCAGCAGGTTTTCTCCACCTATTACTCATCTCCTATTTGTTGATGACACCATCCTCTTTTGCTCTGCTGATGAATATCATGCATTGTTGACCAATTATATCCTTGATGTCTTTGGTTTTGCATCTGGCCAAAAGGTTAATTTGCACACGTCTTCTATCCTATTTTCTGTAAATACTGCTCCCAGAATCAAAGATAGACTTTGCAGCATTTTGAATGGTATCAAGCATGTGGAGTCTACCAAATACATGGGTTTGCCTCTAGGGATTGGTAGGACCAAGAGGAGTACTTTTAAATTTGTTGTTGAATGTGTGTCTAATAGGTTATTGAACTGGAAGAATAATTTATTGAATGAAGCATGGAGAGGGGTTTTGATTAAGTCTGTGTTGGAAGCTCTTCCTACATACGTTATGTCCTGTTTCAAGATTCCAGTGAGGGTGTGTAGGGATATAAGTAAGCATATAGCTGATTTCTGGTGGGGTAGAAATGAGGAGGGGGGTAATAGGATACACTGGTCTACATGGGATTTTGTAGCTAGGCCTAAAGAAAGGGGAGGGCTGGGGTTTAGAAATATGAGTGACTTCAATGATGCTTTGCTGGTAAAACATATTTGGAGACTGATTACTCAGCCAATTCTGCTTATTAGAAAAGTTCTTAAGGGTAGGTACTTCTATAGGTCTAGTGTTTTTGAAGTGAAGCCTAAGGGTGGGGACTCATGGCTTTGGAGGAGTTGGGTGGGTGTGATTAGGTTTCTGAAATTGGGTGCTAGGTACCAAGTGGGTTCAAGGAAGGGTATTTTAATTTGGGATCATCCTTGTCTTCCTAGAAAATCAAACTTCAAACCAGTTAATTGTTTTCCTGGGGATAAGGCCAGGATTGTTTGGGTCAGGAATTTGATCTATGAGGAGAGTGGAGAGTGGGATAAAGATTTGGTGAGACAATATCTTTTACCTGAGGAAGCTGAGGTAATTTTTCAAATTCCAGTCTCTATTATGGGTAAGAAAGATAATCTCATTTGGCATGAGGGGAAGAAAGGGAAGTTTAGTGTAAAATCTGCATATCATCTCATTCTTGAATATTATGAACAAAGAAAGGCAGAAGCTTCATCAAGTAATGATGTTCAGAGCATGGCTAGAGTCTGGAGATTGACATGGAATCTGCCAATAAAGAGCAAGATCAAATTTTTCTTATGGAAATGTTGGCACAATTTTCTGGGAACCAATGAGCAGCTGCTAAGGAGAAAGTTTCGGGTAGATAGCATTTGCCATCTGTGTGGAAGGGAGGATGAAGACCTTGATCACATACTATTTAATTGCTCAAGAGAAAAAATAGTATGGAAGCTGAGTGGATTGCAGTGGCAAGGACTGGAACTCCAGAAGGTCAGCTTTAAATCTTGGAGGAGTAATTTCTGTGGCAATAGTAAGTGTTTTTTAGGCAACCTCAAGGACAGAATCAACTTATCAACTTATATAATGTGGTGGCTTTGGAAAACAAAGAAAGCTTGGCTTTTCAGGAAGGAGAGATGCAGCGAAATACAGGTAGTACAGAAGGCAAGAGCAGAATGGGTGGAGTTTTCTGATATTAATGCTAAAATGAATCTTAAATCCAGCTCTGTGACCCAGAACTGGCTGATTCATGAGTGTTTTTCCTAGAGGGTAGGATAATGGTGCTTCACTGTCAGTGCCCTAAACTCTTCACATAATCAGTTGGTCCTGACATGCAAAGTGGAGAAAGAAGGTATTCAAACTCAGACATTTTCAGAGACATCATGGTTTTCAGGCTGTGAGGACGGCAAATGGCTTTATGTAGTCAGATGGATGATGAGGATATGATGTAGGACGTGAATAAGAACGGGAAAGATACAATACGAGATACTCTCTCGAACTTGGGATACTCTCCCAAAAGAACACGATTAATTTTTCATTCTCAAATTCAACTATCCCAATAACGAAGCATAACAACCCTTTAAATAAGGCTCTAACCTTAAACTTAGCTCATTCCCCAAGCTAATCATTATTTAATAATAATAATAATAATAATAATAATAATAATAATAATAATAATAATAATAATAATAATCCTGCATCATTCTCCCCCGGTTGAGCAGGATTCGCCCTCGAATCCGATCCATTATCGTTGGAGACGTCCGTAAGACAAAAACAGTCTGGCCTTTGCCCCGATCAAACACGAAGTACGAAGATTGCCCAACAACTCCAATGGGAAACATAAGCTTGAGCAAGGCCCGAACTGCTGTAAAGGCGCGCGTACACATCTCCATACGCATAACCCACACAGCGGAAGGAGCACCAATCATCACACAACGTTCACCGAGCTCCAATCCATAACTGCAGCCAAGCATCCCAGTGTTGAGAGACTGCGGGATATAAAATCGAAAAATGGCCCACCAGTTATTGAGCCTCGGTTTCGGCTCCAAAAAACCATCGTCAGCCAAGATACTCCAAAAATAAGGTTTGAACAATGGCATCGCCGTCAAAGGCTCAACTTCTGCAACGTCCCACGCGGCACCCATATTTTCGCAAGGATATGGCTCCGTCACCGGAGGCTCCTCATCGAAAATAGGAGGACCGTCGTACAATGGCCCGTAGACTTGCTCATTGTCGAATTCAGGGATGTCAACGCGAACGGGCCCTCCCATTAACCATATTCGTGATCAAATCCCCAATCGCGTCGGGCACGATATCCGCCAGCTAAGATTGCCTCCTCGCGCCAGCCCATGTCGCTGCGTTGATCGTCGCCGTCCACGAAGCTGTTTAGAGGTGGCGGGAACCGCTGACGGGGCGCCCCGACATGGCAAAGTCCCCCACAACCGCCTCTGTCTCCCTCGCGAAAGCCACGGCCCACAGTCTCATCGCGGTTCGTTTGCAATTTCAAAACAACCACGTTGTGAAGCATCAAATGCAAATTCTCGATCCCCGTCGAAAGATCGGCAAACCAATCCGTGAAACGCACGTCCAACTCTTGAAATCGGTAGTCAATCTGTTGAAACCGATCGTTGAAGGTTGCATCACGTTGTTTGTTTGCGACATCTTGTCGTCTCGAACTTGGGATACTCTTCCAAAAGAACACGATTAATTTTTCATTCTCAAATTCAACTATCCCAATAACGAAGCATAACAACCCTTTAAATAAGGCTCTAACCTTAAACTTAGCTTATTCCCCAAGCTAATCATTATTTAATAATAATAATAATAATAATAATAATAATAATAATAATAATAATAATAATAATAATAATAATAATAATAATAATAATAATAATCCTGCATCAGGATAGCACTGAAGGAAGATTGGACATTATGTTGCTTTAAACTGAATTACAAATCTATTGTGAGAAAGTTATCTGACAAGGCAGAATTTGATTTGTGCTGTAATGCCATTGCTTTTGATGTGTTTGAGTTGTTATCTTCGTTTGCACTTTGTGACTTTGTATATTGTAGATGATCTGGGTAGGAGTATCTATATTTTGGCCCTGAGTAGGGGTGTTGCAATAGCTATGTCATAGCTATTGGTAAACTATGGCTATCTGTTTGGCACGGGTTGTATATGGTTATTGAGGTCTGAATGAAATCTTTTTGTCGTTGAAAAAAAAAAAAAAAAAGATTATAACTATGTATTTTTATTTATAAAATCTACCATTTAAAAAAAAAATCACTTAATTGCGAAACATCAAAGCGATTTCCATCACTTAATTGCAACCATATCCAGTTCGATTATGCAATTCAATCCACGCACGAAAAGCACTAGGATTCACAAAAAGGTTCAAATTTAATAATACAAATGTTGCTTAGAATTAATAACATGTCATTTTCTGAAATCGAAATGTAAAATTTTGGTAATCATATTATTTAGGTCGTGAGTTGTGATAAAATATTTGGCAGCCGCCGACCCCACATTCGGTAACAATTGAACAACTACCTCATGTGATCTTATAGATGTTACATCAAATGCACATGCATTTAATATTACAAATTTACATGCTAAAATAGACTCGTGGCTATGTAATTTTATTTTATTTTTATAAAAAATGCTCAATACTTTAAATATTCATAAAAATATATATATATATATTTTTTTCAATATAAATATGTACTTCTGGTAAAAAAAAAAATAAAGAATCAATTTATCAGTTTTGCTACGAAGTCGACAGTTGATTTTATAGTGAAGCCAACATTCTATATCAATTTTACTATGAAGCCAACAGTTAGTTCTATAGTAAAGCCAACATTCTATATACAACAAATAAACTATATCATATTAATAAAATTATTAGTATTTATTTAATTAATCAGATAATATTTTATTATTTACTTGTTGTATAATAAAGATTGGCTCCACTATGAAGTCGAACCAACTGTTAGACTTCATAGCCAAACTAATCAATTTGTCTACTCTCTAGGCTGCATCACCACAATATGTGAAAATTTATGGTTACCCAAATTTAGGACACAAGGCTATGTACATAAAAAAAACAAAAAATAATTGCGACATTTGCGTTCAATTTTATTCTTTTGCTTTATTTATATTGATTCCACACATGCCAATTTTCTCAAGAATTGTTGACAAAGTTTGCTTCAAAGTTCAAACAAATTATTTCTATTTGGTTTCACTATACAAGATATTGACACACCCCGACACTAAAATCCAAAAACTCCACAAGTAAATTCAAAATCTTTGCTCCCAAAACCACAGACAATCAAAGCTAATCCTTTACAAACTAAAATGTGAAAATCCATCTCAGTGACCACAAAGCCGAACTTTTGTTCTGTACAAACGAGTTAACCTTAAACCTATTCTTGAAAGAGGAGAGGATTCAGAATGTACACAGAAAAAAAAAAAAAAAAAAAAAAAAAAAAAAAAAAAGAAAATACAATAATCGTAGTTTTTTTTTTTTTTTTTCCCCTTCAAGAATACGACCTAACCGAGCCGAAATTACAGAAAGACCTCGACTTGAAAAGGCCACCAAACAGAAACCTGGTGGGAGATTCTTGAGGGGCTTGGTTCGACTCCTCGGGTGACCCTTTGACCCGTAGTATGGTTTGGCCTATCGTTTGCCGAATGGAGTCGATGATTTTGGGGTCCACCGGATATCCCGAAGCATCACGCACGTAGAATGTGTTCACTGCTTTGCCGGCTCTTGTTGAAACCTCGGCTCGAGTTACAGTTAAGCTGTTTTCGCGAAAGATTCTTGTCACGTCGGATAAAAGACCAACTCTATCTGTCGTGCATAGTTCTAGCTTCAAGCCCTGTAGATTTTGAAAAAGAAAAAAGCACAAGTTTCATTAGTCAAAAAAGCTTGTATGTTATTATTATTATTATTATTATTATTATTAGAAAAGATAAAGCTGAGAGGACATGTGCATGTGAACAGATTGAGTAACATGAACAAGAAAGAAGTTTTCCAGTTTTCAATTGATTTCAGGATGTAAGAGGATCATTGACCTATGACACAAATGTTTGTACCAATTAGACATCACCAGTTGCAAGCAAGCACATTCAACACAGATTGATATTTGTTTGTTCAGATTTCAACGTTTAACGTGACTTACTTTTCAAAACATAATTCGAAATCTCGACTCTGCATACAATTGATTATTGGGGGATTGTTACCTCAGATACTCGTCTTTGTATGGCAGCTTCAAGACACTGAATCACCCTTTGCCTCTCGGCATCCGACTTCACTGAAGACCCGTCAATATGCCTTATGCAGTATTCCTTCAAACATAAAAACACAAAACAAAAACATATGAATCCCAGACAACATTGGACATGTGAATGATTCCAAGAGTGGAAGAACCTCCACTTTCAGACAAAGCCCAAAATTTGTTCTGATTCTGTAAAGCAGAGGCCAAAATTTGAACAAGTTGAATAGAAAAAAGAAGAAAAAACAAGGTCTAACAAAAGACATTTGAAAGATGCGTCTTTCATAAGCGAAAAGGGGAATGCGAACATTAACACCAAAAAAACACCATAAGCAACAAATATATTTTTTTTTTTTTTTTTGTAATTCTGATCTTTCAGCTTCAAGATAGTAGAAAATGATACCTGATAAGCCTGCGGGCCATCGGTATCCACATTCCCGTGAAAGACCACGTACTGCATATCAGTCAACGTGCAAATAATGTCGAACAAAAGTTTTGGCCGATCCTTGCACCTAATCGTGACCACGGAGTAATCCTTATCCTGCCAATTAACAACGTTCACTCTCGGCTTGTCCCCATCATCATCATCATCATCCTCATCTGCTGCCCTCTCATAATCCCGGTCTTCAAACATCATCTGGTGGAGGCGCCGCTCAGCATGGGTGGCCCCACACGAGACGGCCGTCTTCGCATCCCTCGATTTGTTGCTGCTGCCTTTGAGCACGTTGCAAAGGAGGCGGCGTATGGTAGCCAGTCTGTCCGGGTCGTGGATCGGCCCACCAGACTCCCCCTCGTCCGTAACACACATCACGGCAGCAGCCCGTGTGTTGTGGGTCCACACTTCGGCACTCACCACGTTGCACTTGAGGTGGGTCAGCACAGCGCTCACCTCAGATAGAAGCCCCGGACGGTCGGCCCCAATCAGCTCGATCGACGTGTGGTCCTCGCCGGCCGTGAGCCCCACTGACCTCCGCATTGACGAGGCGAAGCACGAATCGGGCCCCAACGACTGCAGTTTTTTCTTCTTTTACTTTTGAATTTCTTTTTCTTTCTTTTTTTTTTTGTGAAGAGCTCAGAAAGAAGCTTACCTTTTGAATATAATCAAGAATGCCCTCGTCGGTAATTTTGTTTCCGTCTTGGTCTGTAACGTTGAACACTAGTAGGGAAAAAGAAAAGCAGAGTTAGCTATTATTATAGTGTTGAACAAGAATAAGAAGAAGAAGAAGAAGAAGTTTACCATCCATGAACCATCCTCCATCAGAGCAGATGTAAGCTTTGGTGACCACAAGATTGAGATCTGTGAGGACTTGAACCACTTCAAGAAGGATGCCTTGTTTGTTGGCACTGTCCACCTGTGCATCAAACAACAACTTCGCATTAAACTCTGCCAAAACACGGGACTGACTGTGAAAGAGCAAAGAGGAAAGAGGAAAGACACTATCTGCATACTTGAATGACAGTTGCGTTTTTGCAAGAATCGTTATCAATGACCACTCTGGCAAAAAATTGAAGATAAGTTAGAATTGTTTCACAACACAAAACTAAACGCAGTCGAAGCTCAGAGACATACACAACAGATATGCATATAAACATAAATAAATACCTTGGAGGGTGCATTCTCCTGATTAATTTCTCATACTCATCATCCATGCTCTCTGAATAACTCACTGAAGCCTCTGAACAAGAATTTAAATTTTAGATAACAGTACAAAGAACTTGGGCAAATTCTTATTTTTTTTTTTTAGCTATAAAATACTTCAGAAACACAGCAGCGTATCACAAGTGCCAATCACAGAGAAGATACCAAGAGTGCGCATTAATAATGGGGGCCGAAAAAAGACCAAGCAAAATGGAAAAAATCATGAGAGTTGGGATAAGACTGCAAATCTAGAATGAACCTCTGAGACATCCAAAGGGCCATCCAAAAGGACTGTATAAAGATTTTTAAAAATAATAATTTGGAAAAAAATAAAAAAAAAAAAAAATGTTCTTGTTTTTCCGCCTGTGTGGGGATGATGACCTAGTGGGGCTCTGTCACTGTGTCAACAATTTTTTTTTTTT